ATTTATATCCCACCTTTTCTCCTCTTCCAAGAAACCCAAAGCAGTCTACAATTATATTCTCAAAACAACAACCCCATGAGGTAGGCTATGCCAAGAATGAGCAATTGGTGCAAAGTCACCCAGTGAGCTTCATGGGAAAGAAAGAACTAGACCAGTCCAACACTCTAACCACTATACCACATGCCCTGCTTGTGGCCTTTCCACATCCATCTGGCTGACCACTACGAGAACAGCACACCAGACTAGATGGGCCTTTGGCCTGATGCAGCATGGTTATAAGAATCATTAAAACACAATTAATTAGGGGCACAAGATTTTAGCTGATGGACGATGTAGCTGAGCTGTCTCCTCAACCCACCAATTAATCAAAGAAGGATGGTAAGGGGCAAGTTATATGAAAGGGCCCATCTCTCTTTAAGATAAGGGCTAGGGTTAGGGTTACCCTAACCCATAGCCAGAACTCTGGAAGGGGGCCATGTTCAAAAGCAGAGCACCAGAGTTGTAAGAAGAAGGTGCCAGGTTCAATATCCAGGTAGGGCGTGGAAGCCACTATCAGCGCCACTGCTTCTGGGCGAGTTGAGTCAAGGGCCTTTCTTCCTACATTCCTGACACAGGACAGGGATTGCTCCATTCAGAGCAATCAGGCAAACCATTTCCTTCCTGGCAGCTCTAAATGAAGCCCCCAAATAGCCTGAATTGCCTGATCCCGCCTAATCTTAGAAGCTAAGCAGGGTCCAGCCTGTTGAAGTAAGGATGGGGGACTGAAATGTTCTGAACCTCCCAGAGAGCTTCAGCTACAGGCTGTATAAAAAGGTAATGTAATAATAAATAGTTTGGGCAAACTCCTCCAATCTAGTGCCCTCTGGATTATCAGTGGCTGCACCAGCTGAAGATGATGCGAGATGTTCCCTGACACATGAGGAAGGCAACTAGGTTGGAGAAACCAGATGTTGCTACAGTGGGGTTGCAGAGCATCATCTGAACCTGACTACTGTGGGTTATCTGATGGTCAAACAATAGGATTTATTTATTTATTTATTCAGGCATTTCTATACCATTTGATTAGCACAACACTCTCAGAACAATGTACGGAAGGCAATTAACAACAATGTACAACAGAACATCCGATTTAAAAATGGGTTCAAAGCAATACATCTGGTGTTCACTGTGGATTAAACAACCACACATGGCGAGCACAGGATGTCATGCAAAACATGCCTCTCTCCAAAGGTCTCTCAGGTCACACAGTCTTGCACAACCTCTCCTGGTTCAGTTCACAACGTTCTTCACACCTAACTATTAGCATCGCTCCTTAATCCTCAGCCACTGCCTTTGCTTTCCACATTACATTGCGGTGAGGTGTCTACAAACGAGTGCAGGGCCATGTTCCTCCTACGCCATCCCTGAATTCCAGTTCCCTGCAAAAGACTTGCATGTAAAAGAAGAATTGTCCCCAGCGATTTAAAGTGGGGACACAGGTACCAAAGGCAAGAGATTAGGCTGCAAGGCGCCACGACAGATGCTGGATTGATTTCCCAAAGAGGTGACCACAGAGGAAGAAATGATGGTTTGACAGGCCCAGACCCAAGAAGGCCTCTCTCCGGTGCAATGCTATATCCTTACCATGAAAGCAGGGTGGATAAAAATAAATGATTTTTAAAAAATTGATTTCTAAAATTTGAAATGGATTTTTCAAATAAAATGTGGTTTTTTTGGTGAAAAAATAATCTAAAGATAGTTTTCTGTTTACGATACATTATAGTCCAAAGGTATTCATCATGATATAAGGATTAGTTTTTAATCATGTAGCATGAGGCTGTATTGTTGTTGTTGTTAGTCGCGAAGTAATGTCCGACCCATCATGACCCCATGGACAACATTCCTCCAGGCCTTCCTGTCCTCCACCATCCCCCGGAGTCCACTCAAGCTCACACCAACTGCTTCAGTGACTCCATCCAGCCACCTCATCCTCTGCCTTCCCCTTCCTCTTTTGCCATCCATTGTTCCCAGCATCAGGCTCTTCTCCAGGGAGTCCTTCCTTCTCGTTAGGTGACCAAAGTATTTGAGCTTCATCTTCAGTACCTGGCCTTCTAAAGAGCAGTCAGGGTTGATCTCCTCCAGGACTGACCGGTTTGATCGCCTTGTGGTCCAAGGGACTCATAGGAGTCTCCTCCAGCACCACAATTCAAAGGTCTCAATCCTTTGGCACTCAGCCTTCCTTATGGTCCAGCTTTCACAGCCATACATTGCAATGAGGCTGTATACTCATGCAGTATTTATTTTTGATAAATGACTTTCATTAATCCATTCACAATGGCACTCTCTTCCAGAGGTTTACATAAGATTGAGCAAATTTTCTCTTAGACGATATTGGCACAAATGCTTGGTTTCACAACTTTCAAAATGTGAACTTGTGTCTACGGAGACTGCCTCTTCTTTACAGCAAAAATGTTGTAAAATAAACAGAGTAAAAAAGTTTAATCCATTGTTCCTTTGCAAATCAATGTACAAAGACTCAACCTCTTACATCTTTTAAATGCTAAGTTTCACACAATTCAATAAATGGGAGAAGATTGTTGGGAGTGGAATAGATCTGCACAAAAAGCAAAGTATGAGGAGCAGGGCAAACAATAAAAATGAAAGTGAAACCTATTGAGCAGAATATTCCACAAGTCTTCTGGTCTTTGTGTAGCCTGAGGTTTATCATATTATTCTTTCGCTGGAGGAATAAACCTATAAAGGCAGCAGGCTGCAAAAGAGAGCTAACTTGGGAATATTTTACAGCCCGAAGTCCAAACATGCAAAAGTGATAACAACACTCATTACCTCCATGCCCAAGAAGTTTCACTCAATGATCTTAGAGACTAAAGCAGGACATTGTTCAGGACTCTGGACAAACGGGCTTTTTATACTTGGTCACTGAACAACCCCAGGCCCTGCTCTGGATACCTGGCTCAGTTTGGTCCTTTTAGACCCTGGGCACAGGGCATATTTGCATACCATATATATTGGCATATAAGATGACCTTTGAAACCAAAAACAGAAAAGCAAAAATTGGGGCTTGACTTATATGTGGGACATATGATAAAAAACAGAAAAAGAGCCCCACATAATGACCTCACCTTATATTCTGATATATACGGTATTTAGATGGCAATATCCTGCAACCATGAGCATTTCCCAGCCAGTGTCCATAGCCTATTTTGGATTTCCCGCTCCAAGGTCAGAAATGGCAGTCCAGCCTTGAAGCTTGGAGAGGTATTTCACTGGGTTGAGAAGGGAGTTCAGGATACAAGCCATCCCAAGGCCTCTCCAACTTCTCTTTGTCCCCCTCCAAGACTCCCCAACTAGGCAGGCTAATAAACTGGTGAAATACACAGGAAGGTCTCCCCCACTGCCCTGCAATCTCAATCTGGCTGTCTAAAGAGAGGCCCTCACAGTGCTTAGAAGCCCCAAACCCAGAATTACCTGGCTGAACCTCTGGAAGGGCAATGGCTACGACTCAATGGCTTCCCCTTCTCTGAGAGTGGATGAAACCAAACCTTTTGTTAACAAGGGAAATCTGGTCCACTGATTGTATCCTTCTGTATGATGACAGTACTGCTGTTGCTACTGTTGTATACTGTCAAGGTGTAAACTCTTTGCCCAAGTTTTTAAAAGTAACTATCGACAAGTAATGAGGCCCTGTGGATTTCCTGCAGTATTCCACACCCTCCAGATGTTTTGGAGTACAACTGCCATCATTCCTGACCCTTGGACCTGATGGGGAGTCCTCCTCCAAAATATCTGCAGCATGCCAGGGATGACTACCCAGGTTGAGAATACCGAGGACCGAACGTTCTCAACATTTTCCTATGCAAACATTTTTAACCACACATAACACGGATTTGTCATACCGAAAGCCCAGTTTCTGTCCACACACCTACCCTGCCTTTTTTAGCTAATCCAAGTTCCTCAGACCAGGAAAAACCGTGGGCTGCTTTTGCACTTCCAGCGGGCTGAACGCATTCCCATGACTCGTTGAAGCCAAGCTGAGTGCCCTGGGAAGGGGTGTGTGGTCAAAATGGGGGAAGCAGGCCTTCTTGGCTACAAGCCTGAGGACTGCCACGGAATGGCAGGGTCACCAGGGCAAGTAGGATTGGGAGTGAAATGGGGATTCGGGAGCAAGCGGAGGCGAAGGTCCGTTTACCGGCAGCAGTGGCGGCCACACCTTACATGAGCAAACAGAGCGCTTTCAGGGGGCGGCACTCAAAAGCACCCAGACCAGGCCCGCACGGCTTGCTGGATGCAGAAACAATCCTCCAACAGCCCTACAAGCCCATGGGCTATTTGAGGGCAGTTTTCCTCTCTGACAAGCCAGGCTGCTCCGGGTCGGATGGCATTACCACGCCCAGAAGCGACACTTGGCTGCACGCCTGGGCACGCCGCGCGAACACGCGCAGGAGGAGCGCCCGCGGGCTTCCCACGGAGGCTTAGGCAGCGGGCGACCACAAGGCCGTCGCTCTGCCCAGCGCAGCGGCCCCTCTGGCCCGCTCCCCCTCTGCGCTCCCCGGCAGCGGCTCCCTTACCCTCCCCTCCCACCAGGAAGCGAACCCTTCTTGCCGGGGATGCGCCGGCAAAGGCTGCCCAGCAGGATGGCGGCAGCTCCGACCTTAAGTGCAACTTCCCCTCCCGCGGGGAGGCGGTGCAGCCCGACGTCGCGGAAGCGCCGCCTGCCGCCCACGGGGTCTCCAGCGGCGCTCCCCGAGTCCCCGAAAAGGCTCTCCGGAGCTGCGGAAGCGCACACCGGCCCTTTCCCTGACACGGAAGCGAGCGCACAGGCGCTGCCCGGAGCCTGGACTTCGTCTGGCAGGCGTGGCCGCGAGGCGAGGGCGGGGGAATCGTGGCAACCGGCGATCAAGCTCCCGGCGTGGCGTAGCACCGCGGGAGGCAGAGGAGAGGCCGGGCGCCCGGGCACGGAACCCAGGAGTCCTGCCGCTGCGCCCTTGTAAAAGCTCTCGGGAGCCCCGGGTCGCTCTGAGCGCCCCGCCTTGAAGTGCTCCCATTGATGGTAGGGTCGTGCTCCGTGCCCCACCGGAACCCCCTATAGGTGAGACGGGGCGAACGGATCCCCACTTCCACCCCATCCCGAATCGTAATTACATGCCATTTATTTTATTTGGAAGGTAAAGCTGCCCTGCTTATTCCATCACACTCCGTGGCAGCCTAGGGAAGGCCTGCATCCCCTAATTTTCTTTTCCCCTATTACTTTCTTTTAAAAGAAAATTGAAAAATGCACAGTTTCATTAGTAAAAGGCCCCCAAAGCAAAAGAAATGCCCCATCTGAATTTTTATTTTTGCAGTCCCCCACTTCTAGGCCCGGCAGGAACAATCTACCTTGTCCTTTCCCAACCTCCTGTCCTACAGAAGTATGGAAGACCTCCAGAAGTGCCACAGTCTCAACATTGCCCACGTTCGATCACAGATAGGACAACATCACTTCCCCGTGGAATCCATTCCTCGCTCCTTATAAAGTATTCAGAACAACGCCTGTGATAAAGTAACGTTTAATCAACTTAAGCAGAGTGAGCTGAACATGGGCAGAAAAAAACTATAAACCTCGGGGTTTAAAGGATAAGGTTCACATCGCTCCTTCATCTCCTTTCCAGTGAGTTAGATTTCACAACGCTTATTTTGCATATACATTTAAGGTGAAATCCAATGCAAGTTTAGACTGAAAAAAGGGCCTGCAAGCACACTGGATTGTACCTTGAACTGCCAGTATTTAAACATCTGAACTCTTCCTGTCCAGCCTAGGAACTCACTTTCTGGGTAACGGCCTTTTATTGTTGAGCTTTCACAATTTGCAGGGCTTTTGTTGTGTTATTTGTCTAAACCTAACATACTAAGTTTCTGCATGTCAAAGACAAAGCCACACCCCTGCACCAGGCTAATAAACTGATGCAGTCAGATATGTCAACTGATAGATAAAATTTTATTAGGGTCAAAGATCAGCTCGATTCAAATAAATAAATGGATTTTAAAAAAAGAAGATACATTAAAGGTTATCTGTCACAAAATCTGGATTGCAAGGCTGCCTGTTGACTAGGAACATACATAATTAAATAAATTTCATGAGCTAACATCTTTTAATCATTGTTTGATAGACATGAATCAGCAGTTTTGGGTTTCACTGCTTGTGTCTGCAGATTAGGCTGTTATTAAAGGCACAGCTACAGTGGATATCTGAAAAGTTGGCAACCCTAAAGTCATGTGCCTTACACATTGCATTCACTCCAATTACATGCCTAAAACAATTCAAATACACCCTACAATAATTTATTTTTAAAAGCAAAATAGGTTAGAGGCCATAGTTCACAGGCTTTATGTAACCTGCTCATTAATACTTTGCAGCTTAGCTTAGCTGAAAGGCGGTGCTCATGCCAACTTTCTCGATTTGGATTGTTTAATTTCTTGTTAACTTGCTTAAGATACCACAGCCAAAAGGGGGGCAGAAAACCCACCCCATCTTATTTGACAAGTTTACTTCTTCCTCACAGAGCCTCTGTCCCTTTAACAGCTATAGAACAGGCAGAAATTTAACAGATACAGTTTGACAAGGCAGTGAAGGGGAAAACTATTTTATTTCTGATTCCTATGCCTTTGTTAAAAGCAGGGCTGGTTCACACATGTTATGATTGCCAGTTGATGCCTGCAATATCGGCTGGTGGTTGATGTTTGCAATGGGGCTGCCCTAGATAAAGAACCACAAGCAGAATCTGGACATCCAATGCTTCTTCTTTGCAACTGCAGAGAAATGATACAAGCGATCTAAAACCTCTGAACGCATTGAAGTTTTCTGCAAAGTAGCAGCTGGGGAGCCTTAACTGTGGCTTGGATGTGGGGATTCAGCTGAAGGATCCGGAGGGATTTGCAGGCTGGGGATCTCGGAAGGCAAGGCCTCCTTTCCCCGCAGGGAGGAAGGGACGTCCAAGATGCAGGCCCTGAGGTCAGCATAAGCCTGGGGTAAAGTCCCCACATTGACCCACCGGTCGTGGCTTGGGTTGTAGCAGTGGATCAGGTGTGTGTCGCGATAGGTGTTGTGGCTGTATCCGCCCAGCAGGTACAGCTCCCCCTGCAGGACCGCAGAGCCAGCAATGACATGGGCCTGCGGAAGAGGGCTGAGGGCAACCCAGACGTCCAGGCCGGGGCTGTAGACTTCGCACGCCAGCTGATCCGCGTAGCCCCCATGGCCGTCCCGCCATCGCAGGCCGCCAGCCACGTAGAGCCGCCCGTCCAGCGCTTCCATGGCGTGTCCCGCACGCTCCTCTCGCATGGCGGCCAGCGGGGTGGGCGGGCCGCCCGGGTGATACTGGAACAGGGTCGTGCGGCAGCGGCAGGTACCGTCGCTGCCCCCGGAGATGTAGAGGGATCCGTCCAGGACGCAAGCCGCATGGCCACAGAGTGGGGTGGGCAGAGGTGTGCACAGCCTGGGATAAAGGAGGGGGGGCACAGAGGAAGGAAGAACGTACGATTAGGAACACAAGAACATCAGCCTACAGGTGTAACTGCTTTGGATGGACCTGAGCAAAGGTGTTTAGTCCATAGAATGACCAAGAAAGAGGAAGCATCAGGGCCCAAAAGAGGTGTGATGAATCTGCTTTGGGGGTAGGAATCTGTCCGCTTCCTCAGCTCCTGGCCTCTGGGGTGCCGTGTGTCTCCTCTGGGGCCAAGCACACCATGCATTCCCATGGATATCTACCAGGAATCTAGGTTATGTAAACATGGTGCAACCGAGTCTCTCTTCCACACATGTGACTTGCGGGTTTTGTGGGTCCTGCACATGCTGTGGAGGAAGATGGCTAGGCTGTGCAACAGGACTTTGGCTAATGTTTGTGGACTTCATCTTGTGTTGGCTTGCTTCCTAAGCCAGGGCTGAGCATGAGAAGGAAGTCCAGCAAGCAGAAGAGAGCTGGATTCATTGTAACCCTAGTCACACATCATTTGCCAAACGTGTGTACATGCTAATCTATAGACATCCTGCTCCCTAAGATCGGCAGCAGAGGCCCTCCTCCGGGAACCCTCTTTGAAAGAGGTCAGGAGACAGTCCTTGGAGGAGAGCCTTCTCTGCGGTGGCGCCCCGACTATGGAATGCGCTCCCTAGAGAGGTCCGCCTGGTGCCATCATTATATGCTTTTCGGCGCCAGGTCAAGACCTTTTTATTTAACCAATATTTTAGAGTTAATTCATTTTAATGGTATATTTATTTATTTAATTCATTTTAACCATGTTATTTTATACTCGGTCGTGGTGTAGCCAATTTATTTATTTTAGGATTGGTGGGGTTTTAATGTTTGTAAACCACTCAGAGAGCCCTCTGGCCTATTGGAGTGGTATATAAATGCAATAAATAAATAAATAAATAAAACATGCACTTTTAAAAATAATAGCTAAAGTTTAACTAGAAATAGAAGACACTTCACTGTAGTAGGTAGGAATAGTGTGACTGCCTGTGTCATCTACCAGCTCAGCTTCGACCTAATGACTGCTAGCTTAGTCCGCTGTCCAGGGGTTAACTGTGGTTGGGAAGAGGCAAAGCCCCTGCCACTTTCTCCACGTGCCACTGGGACACTTGGGGAGTGGTTGGCACAAGCACTTCTCCTGCCCTTGCCAACTGGCCTGCTAGTGGTTTGGGCTGACCCACAATGGGTCACATTGTCCATGTTCAGTCAACCTGACAACCCATCCTGGGTGAAAGAAACCCATCTACAAGCCAAGGATGGTCAGGGTGTTTTATAACCAGACTTAAGCCCGAGAAACCTATTGTGGGTTCAGACAATACTATAACCCATAGTGGTTTATCAGCCATGGTAGGTTGTCATGTCATGCAAGCCTAGTCAGATGATTCAACTAGGTGACCTGAGAGGAAAAAAGGTAGCAGGAAATGGTATACTATTCAGAATAACACAAATCAGAACAGGGTAGTTGGTAGGGCTTGGGAGGCCACCGAGCCCAGTGCCCCTCTTGGTACAGGGAACCCAGAGCTAAAGTATCCCAACAAATAACTACCCAGCAACCTCCAGTGAGGAAGAGATTCTTCCCAGCCTCCCCAAATAAATGGTTCCGTTATCAAATGGTTTTTATGCTGAAGTCACCTGTCCCGATGTTCAGGTGCAATCTACGCCCCTATGATGTTAGACCATGGTGCATGTGCTGTTGCTTTCCAGGACAACAGAGACCAAGTCTTTGCCCTCTTCTGATATGAGAAGAATGTGTTCCTGTCCTTTGCCCTGCTGTTCTCTTCTCAAGCTACCCCAATCCAGTTCCTTCACCCTCCTTCCAATGCAGCGTTCCTCATTCGGCACAGCAGTCCAGATGAGGTCTGGGGCAGGAAGTCCCCCATCCCTCACCTCCAGGCATTGCTCTGGGGCTCATAGCACTCGACTGAATCCAGGCAGTAAGCATCATTGGAGCTGCCCCCCAGAGCATAGAAAAAGCCATCCAGAAAGACTGCTGGGAAGTAGCTCCGGTAATTGGTCATGTCAGCCAGTCTCTCCCAGGTGCCACAGAAGGGGTCATACCTGCAACAAGGGAAGAGTCAGAGAAGAGTGATGCTTCAAGGAGGCAAAGGCCACCGATTCTTCCTCCATTCCTAAAACAAAGGGACAGACGTATTCCTCTGAATACTTGCCCATCTTTCCACTTTTTTCTCTCTGCGTTTGAAACGGATGATGCTTTGGCTTAGGGTTCCCATGGCCTAGTCAGCATAGCCAGTGGTATGACTGATGGGGACGGTAGGCTCAAGCATCTGATGGGCCGCCCCTGGTTTACAGTATGCACCACCCATAGATCTCAAAGTCCTAGACAGTCAAACATTGCAAAATGTTCCATTTGGTTGGAGAAGCCTGACCAAAGAGTCAGGAATTCCTAGAAAGGTAAGGCAATCACATTGCATTTTTCGTTCTCCTGGGCCCATGCATTTCTATCAACAGGCACCTCAGATGCCAGAACCTGCAGGACCAAAGCCAAATACAGCAGCCCCCAGATGCTTAGATCTTAATGGCAGAACCATGGCCGGTAACCATTTGTAAGAAGACTCCAAAGGAACCTTCTGTCTTTCCACTGAGATGGAAAATCCAGATTGTTCTTTCCCATTCCCATCCAAAGCTCTTCTCACCAAATGCAACTAGGTGGCTCCCCATCCCTTCCTCCCCCAATGTAAGTGGCAAGACCCCCATCTCACTTGAACACGGAGCAGATGGTGTCCCTGATCCCATAGTAGTGCTTCCCCCCAAAGATGTACATCACGTTGTCCTTGACCACCACAGCATGCCGGAAGCGGGGCCCTTCGGGGAGCTCCCCAAGACGCCGCCACTCCACCTGCTTGACCAACCCGATGCCACTGAGGAAGCGGTGGCTGAACCAGAGGTCCTGGCTGGGTCTGCGAGTGGCCATATTCACAGCCAGGGTATCTCCACCACTAATGACAATCACCTTCTCAGGGTACCTCACCCGGCAAGGGAGTTGCTCCATCTTGGAAGGGCCTGGAGGGAGGCGTGCTAAAGATTCAACCATGAGGTTATAAAAGCGGCCTGGGGAGGCCATCATGTCTTCTGCCCGCACCTGCTTGAGTTCCCGAGTAGACATCAAAGGGAACCTGATACAGCACAAGACCTTCTCAGCATAATGCATCCGGCCTGCCCGGTCAACATCCAGCCAGCGAATAGCTCCTTGGAAGGCCTCCAGTTCATTGAGGATGTAGAGAGCATCCGAACTGAGGAAGTCCACTAACTCATTGACGGGGAGGTCCAGGAACTTGGGTGTGCACATGACATGAGCAAAGTTCCTTAACACAAAATTCTCCGCGGTGTTTTCCAGATCATGGAGGCCATAGGCCCGGGCAAAGGAGAGGACATCCAAGCAGGCTTCAGGATTCAGCTTGTGATGGAAGTGATCCAGGCAGAGTTCCAAGATGCCGGAGACCTGGTATTGCAGGGCAGCCTGGGCAGCATCAAAGAGATAATCCCATCCACCCACCAGCATTCCTGAATATGCAAAGGAGATGACCAGGCCCAGGTCAGTGGAGGTGAAGTGGGTGCAGAGAGGGGCACCCCCCTGCCGAGATTCCTTCATGCCGCTGGTGAACATGCCATGGAAGAACTCACAGCCGCAAGCCAGAGCTAGGCGGTGAACTGGAAGGAGGGAAGCTGAGGTCAGAGGATCCAGTAACCATGTCTCAGTCAAGACGCCACAGCCCCAACCCCCAAGCATCTGCCAACCCAAACATGGACCTCCTATTTAAACCCAAACCACAGACCCCTTTCTATCTGTATGGTGGACTTCCCACCAACATTGCCTTGTTCACCTTGGTAGGTATCTCCCTCAGCTTTAAGCTCCAGGTCCCAGCCAATGGCTTCTTCATAAAACTGCTCCAAGCTCCGTAGGGTCTCCCATTTTTCTTCTGCTGGACTCAGTCTGTCCTCTGTCTTGGTCCCAGTCAATACCAACTTGCAAATCACAGCCACGCGAGGGACACCCAGTGCTTCAGCTGCATCCAAGACCTCCTCCGCTGTCTCTGATGTAGCTTCTAACTCCCCAGTGTAGGCAAAATTCAGAATGGCCTCCCAGCCACGTGGTGTGGTCACACCATCGAGCTCCATCACACCTGGCTCCCCTCGTTCTAAGCGCTGTCGGAAGACGGAACTCACTGCGGCAAGGAGGACGGCGTGGCCTTCATAGTTCCTTTGGCCTAGGGTCACGGTCAGGTCCACAAGATGGTGCTGTTCTCTCAGCTCCAAAGCTGCAGCAAAGAACCGTTCCACATGGGCCTCGTTCCGCAGCTCCAAATGCTGCTCCCTTGGGGATTCCGAAGGACCTTCTGGGATGGTGTCCATGTGTGACGTTGTCCCCTGGAAAAAAGATACCTGTAGGATGAAAGAACATGAAAGCTGGGAGACAAAACAGGAGAAGGAATGTGGTCAAGCTGGAGGAGAAGGTGCACAAAGGACACCCTAGAGTTACCCAACCGAAAACATACCCAGAGGGCTGAGACCACTCTTATGTCAAGTGATCATCTGAATGCGCACAGAGCAACTCCTTTTTCATAGCAGCAGCAATTTTGAATGCTTAGAAAAACTGAAGCATCAGGTGGCGACTTCTATATGTTATTTAATTTATTATTATTAGGCATACCTAGTCCTCTTCCTCTCCATGTAATCCTCACAAAAACGTTCCTGTGAGGTAGGCTAGCCTGAGAACCAATGACTGTCTCAGAGTCAACCAAGGAGCTTTACAGCTGAGTGGGGACCAGAACCTGGATCTCCCAGCTTCCCAGTCCAACGCTCTAACCACCATGCCACACTGGTCCTTATAGGATGGAGATCTTTTTTGGTGGTATGGATATGTCATTTTAGCACCTGCTTAATGGTCTTAGCCTGTCCCACCTCCCAGCTGAGAAGGCTATGGAGCACGCAATTTCACCTCTGTCTTTGCTCCCCGACACCACTCTGTGCACTTCCGCTGCTTCTGCAGCCCCAGTGTGTGAGAACGACCACCACAAAACCATTTGTCAATCCCAGTATTAAAAAGGACAATATCCTCAGTAAGAAACACTTTGCTTTTGCTGTCCACTGAAATCCAAGCAATATCTGATTCCAGGAATGCCATAAAGTTGGCTTCTGCTGCCCAGATCATCCCGGGTAGTCATCTGCAGTGGGGCTGTGCTATGGGACAAAGAGGGAGAGAGCAGCACAGACTTGCAGGCCTGAGATGACAGCTCCCCGCTCCATGAACCTTCCCAGCCCACCCAGCCCTGCTGACCCTCACTGAAGCCCACCAGAGACCCCAATCAAAACCTCTCACCTTTTGGGCTCGCTCAGTGTGGGCCTTTCTTGAGCCTGCGGGGAATCGTAGCTGCAGTGTGACCTCGGGGGAATGTCAACCCGGGTGCCAGGGAGTGAAGTTAATTATAGCCAGGCTGAAGGTCTCAGGGATGACGATGTGGCAACAAGGAACCAAACCATTTGGATAATTTTTACAGACGTGGCCTGCACAACTTCAGAAAGCAAAGAAGGGCTTAACTGATTGTGCCTGCATATAAAAACATCCCTGGCTTTCAAAAGATTAAAATATCAAGGGCCATGGCACACTAGTTTTCTATGACAAACAAGATTCTGTGCGCAGGGATTTGGTTTATGCATCTGTGTGAGCGTGTGCATTGACAAGAGAAGCAGAGAGCAGGTCACTGGGAGTGTACAATTTAAAAAATACAGTTTATTCAGACATACAAATACGTGCATCACGTAGGCAGTCCCCAAAAGGACTACCAAGATGGGGTCTGTACAAGAAGCTTTTATAACCTGTTAGCTACATGCAAGGTTTGGCAGAGGGGGAGGGTGGGGACCATGTGGGAGATCACATTATGGTAGAAGCATATTGAATAAAACAATAGGGATGGATGGGATTAAGGCAGCACAATACAAAAAGAACCTTCAGGACAGGTAAACAATTAGCAAATCTAAGAATGTTCCTGAGCAGGACTGGAAACATTAGCATGCATAAGGTGTATGTGGGAAGCAAGACTTGCAACATGGATTCCTTTAAGTCTAACGTTGTTCATACAGTGTCAGGCTTTTGGCAGCCATGTTATGGCAGAGTTTGGCTCATTTTGTCTCGACACCTTGCACCCCTACAGGCACATCCCAATTCCTGAGCCCACTTGCAGGCTGTCAGGAAATCTTGAGTAGCAGAACCAGGAGAATGTACACTCGGATTCACAGGAAGACACTGCACTTAGTCCCAGCGGTTTATTGACAGAACACCCAGGAATCCTGCTCTGACAAAGAAAAAAACATCAGCCCTGCTGGGTAGCCAGTATACCAAACTGGCTACAAGTTTCCAGAGCACAGAGTTTTTTATAAGTTGTGGGTCATGTACACAGTTTCAGGGCAGTGATGAGATTCTGAATGGGTGAGAAGGCGCGGACAATGGGGAATAATACAGAAACATTGAGAAATCGTTATAGGCATCAGGAATGACATTGTGTCCCATGAAAAGCTTGAGTAACAGATAACAAAACAGTCTGTAGTAATACAAATCTGACAGGTTTAAAATGTGGTTTTTGCAATCAGAGATACAGAATTCTTTAAGACAAAGCATGAGCTCCCTTTGTGTTTTTACATTGCAAAGGAAGCCCGGCTGGTGATCAGCCAGCAACATTGTCTAAACTGTTTGGGCTGGACAATCAGAAGCTGAGAGCTCTTAGATCATTTGCATAGCTGGGGGCTGTTTTTCCTCCCTCCCCTCCCCACAAGGAATTAGGAAGGAAAAACCCTGCAGTTGGGGAAGGAGAGTAAGGGTACTGCTTCCAGATTTTACATCAAAGGACAAGCAAAAGCATAACTTTTTATTTTAACTTTCCCAACAAGGCATACCTGTGCATTTGAGCCTCAGGTCTCTGCGAGGCCACCTGCCACATCAACCTGCACATGGGCAGGGACTGAAAGGAAGGTCCAGGAGCCCAGTGGTTCTCTGTTGCGCTGGATCCTCCTAGCTGAGCTGGCTTTTTGCCCCCACAGGCTTCACCACCTGCTGTTTCCCCCATCTTTCTGCCTGAGGTTTTATCCTAAAATGAAATGCCTTCTTTTTCCCTACCCTACCTGTACATCCTTTTTACAAGCGGGGTGGGCTTAAGAGAACAGATAACACTGGGGCATATGGAAATAAATATGCAAATTTGTCCTTTTTGTCATCCTGTGGGCCTGAACCCTGGATCTTTCTGGTACCTCACACAACCCCTAGTAACAGGGATGCCTTATTACCCAACATCTGGCCAGCCAATGAGGAGACCCGACCACACACAACAGCCATGGCAGGATCACTTCCCGTCTCATTTGTCCTCACTCTGCAACCTCTAAAAGATGAGGGCACCCAGAAGACGGGGTGCTCCAAGGGAATAAAATAACTTCCACTAGACGTTGTTTTACTGTTTTTAGCCCAGAATACTGTGCTATTCAAACAAAACATACGTAAAACAAACTTAATAAATAAATAAATAAAATACGTAAAGACTGGCAGTTTCTCCAGGACTCCACACCAGCAGAAGCAAACTATTTTATAACCGTATTTTATTTCTGTCATCATACTATGTTATCATTTAAATGAGTTTAAAAGGCAAAACTGCACATGCTTAACATATTTCTTCCTTTTTAAAACTGGGGGCTGGCAGACAGGTTTTTGTTTCGTTGCTCTAACATACCCGGAAGATAGCGCCAGTTATGATACATGGAACGTGGAGGAGAGAAACGTGTTTCATAACTGAGTAGACATGACCGTTGAAAGGGAGTTCGGTAAGAATTATGACGTCCATGGTTGAAAATAATTGAACGGTATCGCTTCAGACAAGGCTTTGACGGCATCATCACTACCTCATTCATGCCATGTTATGAGGTGGCCCAAATGCTGCCTTCCACTCTTTTTTCCTGCTGCCCTTTCCTGCTGTTCCTTCCATCCCTTTTTCTTACTGTAGAGTTTCCTTTCTGAGTTGCAGAAATGGAATGGGGTGTTTCCCTTAAGGACAGGGCAACACCCTTCGAAAAGGGTACTTTAATCCCTTATTTCTAGGCCTGATTGCATCTCAGGGGAATCCCCACGATGGTCTCGGAAAACTTTTGTTCAGACTGGTTTTTCCACTGGACCATAAAGAAAATGGGAGGGGAAGAAAGGGGTTTACAGGGGTAGCTGAGCTTTGAGGTGAATGGCCAATGGGGAAAGGGAAAGAGTCGGGGGACCCCTTGCCAGCCTTTGGAATTACAACTCAGTTCCTTGCTCCTTCCACATGCTGATGCCCAGGCATTGTGAAACAGCAGGAGCCATGCTTCCAAGCAGTGGGTGGGTGTTGCTGAGGCTGAGCCTAATCTATGGCACGCATGAAATGCCAATCGACTGAGATGCTTTTCTTCAGGGTGACAGCTTTCCCTGTGGCCTACGAGTTCAGTCCAGTAGTCTTGGAGTGCAGAAGTTTCTATGGGGGATTCCATCCCTTTTAGCTCCAACTGTAAGCCATCCAGAGACATGTAGTAATTGGACAGGTTAGGAAACCCGAATGAATGAATGTTTTCATCGTTCCCTTATTATTTTGGAGTCGGGTTTGGATACTATCAGAAACAGCACCGTGGATTGCTGGGTGTGGAACCACACAACGCATGGTTTCAAAATCTTGGAGATACAGCAAGTAAATCACCCGTTGGATGTCCATACTCTCTAAGATCTACCTATTGAATGGTATCTATTTTTCCCATTCATGGATGTTTCAGCCCCCTTTCCCCACTCTGCCTATGATTACCATCAGTGCTCTGCATTCTTGGGAACTTCCTGGGGAACACACCAGAGTGGGGGAGCCACGGATGTCTTGACCTCCAGCCCTGCTCTCCCCTCTTTGAGCATGCAAACGGGGACAAGAGCGAGGAAGGACATCCCAGCCCTATTCAGCAGATGGGGTTTTCAAAGGGAAAGAGCAAGCAAACCATGTTGCTAAAGGCCCTGGGACACCATACTATCTAGAGCTGATACCGGTCCTGTTAAATATTGCACAGACACCTACAGCACCATTTTCTTTCTCCCAATTATTAATGAACTCCTGACACCCCTTTAAGGCTGAGCTTTCCCCACCACCACCTTTCATACCTAGCAAAGTTCAGCCAAGGTGCTTGGAAGCATTTGGGTCTCATAAAAACAGAGAGCGTGTGTGGTTAGCACCAAGCAAATGCCAGCAAGGCATTCTCCACCTCCTGTTTTGCAGAGTCATTACAGTTAACGCAGCAAATTGTTCTCTCTGTACCTGTCCAGGCATCGAGTCTTCTGCAACCCTGAATGTCCAAGTGGATGTTGTAAGAAG